TGTGACACAAGTGGGCGGTACTACGCCCATTTTCCAAAATTTTGTCATAAACGTATTTCTTGGTAAAGAATTGTTGCAATCATCAATTTTGAATAAATTAGCTTCAATATTTACTGATTTATCGAAGATTTTGTATTTCTCGAAATTACCGTTATATGAGATGTGGGCGTGGTTATTGTCCGATTTTAGAAATTTTCGGCCAGTTGGTATGCTGTACCAGGACCAACAACTGTGCCTAGTTTGGAAGAAATTGGTGTAGCGGTTACCAAGATATACACATGTAACCATAAGTGGGCGTGGCTACGCCCATTTTCCAAAATTTTGTAATATTCTTATTTTTCGTCTAAAACTCATTGCAAATATCAATTTTGAGTGAATTATCTTCAGTAGTTACTAAAATATCGCAGTTTTCGTTTTTCTGAAAATTACCGTTATACGGGAGGTAGGCGTGGTTATTGTCCGATTTCGCCCATTTTCAATACCATCCGTCCCACGCCCAAAAGAAGTTCACGTACCAAGTTTCGTTAAGATATCTCAATTTTTACTCGAGTTATCGATTTCTCTTTTCATTCTGATCATTTATGTATACATTTGTCTATATCTTTCTCGATTCGTTTTGCCTGTTACAAACAACCGTTATGTGAACAAAGTTATAATACCCTTGTGCACAAGTGCGTTCGGGTATAAAAATATCACGAAAACTCCACCTTCTCCTTGTTGGTTTTGCGGAGAAATGCACTATGCTCGTTATTGTTGAGAATTGTGAAGTATGGAAGAATATCAACATGCCAACGTTGAATGCAACTAAACATACAGCACGCGACGCGAATTGCAACAAAATCAGCTTCAAATGCGAGTTTATTGCTAACATAACACATCAAGGCGAAACAAAGAAAATGAAGGTGTTAGTCACATTGGTCAACAATCTCAATATCGCAGGCGCAGACTTCTTTGAAGAATTTGGTCTTTGGGATATACCTATCAATGCATTTTGCATGAAAGTATAACTCTCAGAGAAAGAAGCAGAACAAATTGAAAAATTCAAAGCAGAATTTCCTACTGTATTTCGTAAAGAGCTTGGACACTGCGAGAAAATTAAAATTCATCTACCACTAAAGCCAAACGCGATTCCAAAATTTTGTCCAAAACGTCCAGTCCCGTATGCGGTAACATCAATGGTGGAAGCAGAGTTAAATCGACTTCAAGACGCAGGCGTCATCACTCCAACAAACTATTCCGATTGGGCAGCACCAATTGTAATAGTGAAACGTCCGAATGGTAAAATCTGAATTTGTGCGGACTACTCAACAGGTCTCAACGCATGTGTAGAAGCACACTTTCATCCACTGCCATTGCCAGAAGACATTTTCGTAAATCTCAAAGGTCGTAAGTACTTTACACGTTTTGATTTTAATGACGCGTATATGCAGTTTGATGTCGACGAGGTCACTAAAAATATTTTGACTATTAATACACACCGGGGATTATATAAATTTAACAGGCTTGTACCTGGAATTAAATCAGCACCGGGTGCATTTCAACAAGCAATCGAAAAAGTTCTAATATGCGTTCAAGAAGCAACTCCCTATTTAGACGACGTTATAGTTGCAAGCAATAATTTAAGTCAGCATGTAAAATCAATTAGACAAGTACTACAGCGTTTTGCGGAGTATAACATCACAGTAAACTATGACAAATGCGAATTTTTTCAAACTAAAATAAAATACTTAGGTCATATAGTAGATACAGAGGGCATTCGTCCTGACCCTAATAAAATAATGGCTATCATAAATTTGCCAAGACCAACTAATGTCAATGAACTGAGGTCATTTATTGGCTCAGTAAACTTTTACTGTAAATTCATTGCAATGAGATCACTTCGAGCACCGCTTGATGAATTGTTACAGTCGCAGAAAAAATGGTTTTGGTCAACAAAATGCGAAGAATCATTTCAAAAGTTCAAAACTATTTTAACGTCAGACTTGATGTTTACACATTTTAATCGTAACATTTTTCGCAGTAAAGAAATTTCATCGCATGGTGTACGGTCAGAAATTTATTCTACGTACCGACCATAAGACGTCCATAAACCTAGCTGACCCAAGTCGCCGAAAATCAATAAAAATTAGCTAGGAATTAGGTGTCTTTTAGGTGTTAATTAGGGCCTCCAAAATTAATTTAGGTGTTCCTTTGGTTTCCGAGAAATTCGCAAAAATGTGTTTTTCAGCTAGCTCAGCGCTGTTAAGCTAGCTGAACAATCTTAAATTTTTTTTTTTAAATTTTCGAGATACATATATGCAGGAATTAGGTGTCTTTTAGGTGTTCTTCAACGCCACCGAAACTAATTTAGTAGCTCCATTGGTTTCCGGGAAATTCGCAAAAATGTGTGGGTCAGCTAGGTTTACGTAAACCTAGCTGACCCATCGTTAAATTTAGGTTTT